TGTAGGAAATCAGTTTCTTTAATCAACTCTGGCCTCTGAGTGATAATCCAGCTTGCACTGCCTGTGGATTTACGACTCAATGCATTGCCAATTACATTTGTTCGGCCATGACAATACTATATGTTAAAATCATAGTCTTTGATCCGCTTAAACTATGTTCGCTGCCTCAAATTCAGCTCTTTTTGTGTGAAAATGTACTTCAGACTTTGATGATAAATGATAATCCAGCTTGCACTACCTGAGAATTTACGAATCAATGCATCGACAACTACATTTATTGGCCATGATAATACTATATATTCAAATCATTTTCTTTGTTCAGCTCTAACTATATTCGCTGCATGAAATTCAACTCTTTTTGTGTGAAAATGTATTTTATACTTTAATGATCAGTGAATACTTCGCTTTTCATGTCATACAAATAATGTCACCAATCTTGAGAGCAAACACTGCGGTAGCCAACTCCATGTCATGCGTGGGATATTTCCTTTAATGTGTCTTCAACTGTTGGGATGCATAAGCTATCACCTTTCTATTCTGCATTAAAACACAACCCAAGCCTCACTGTAAATCTGGAATGCCTCTATACTTGATGGAATAGTTAAAACTGATGTAGTGGTCAAATGCTCAACTCTTGAAAATTGTGCTTAAATTGAACGTCTTTTCTCATCAGCTTGGACAACGACATTGCTATATGTGAAAATTTTTTTACAAACCTATTGTAATATCCAACCAAATAAAAAATCTGCGTACCTTCGTAACATTTTTTGCAGTATGCCATTCCACAATTGCTTAACCTTTTGAGAATTAACTGAGATTTCTTGTCCACTCATAATGTGTCCCAAAAATTCAATGCTTCTCTACCAAATTTACATTTAGAAAATTTTACATACAGCTGATTTTGTCTCACCAGCTCTCAATTTATCTTCATATAGTTGTCATGACCTCATTATTCCTAAATAAATTAGAATTTCATCAATAAAAATAATACAAACTATCATCAATAAAAATAAGATCAAAATGATCCATATACGACTTGAAATTTTGTCTCATTAAGTCCATAAATATAGCAGTAGCATTATTTAAGCCAAAATACATTATTAAGAATTCGTAATGATCATACTTGATCTCAAAAGTTGTCTTATTTTATCTGCCTCATTGTCTTTGATCTGATGATATTTATATCTCAAATCAATTCTGAAAAATATAGTAGCCCCTTCTAACTGATCGAATATATCATTGATTCTGGACAATTGATATTTGTTCTTGATAAACCTTGTTCAACTTTCTATAATCAATACATGGCTGCATCGATCCGTCTTTTTATTTGACGAACAATGCTGGAACACTCTAAGGTGAATTGCTTGGTTAGATAAAACACCTATCTATTTGTTCCTGTAATTTACAATTTAATTCCTGCAATTTCTTCGGAGCCATTCTGTATGGAACTTGAAAAGTGCAAATGTACCTGGCTGCACATCAATGCCAAACTCAACTTCTCGTTTTGGCGGTAGCCCTAACAATTTTTCGGGAAATACATAAAAATTTAACAACAACTGAAATGCTTTTCAAATCCAACACATCTTTATTTAGCCGTTCTAATTTGGCCATAATTACTAGTTCACCACTTCATAAATACTTCCTAATTTTCACTCTATTGATCAGAGATGATTGCACATTTCGATCACCTAAGATATATGATGACTTTTCACTAGGAAAATTGAGTGTCACTCACCTTTTCTAGGATTTATTTATAGCAAAATGATTTACCAACCAATCTATCCCCAATATGACATCAAAAGTCCATCTTAGAATGATAATCAACTCTGCTTGCAGCTTTTAATCATGAATATTAATGTGTACGATACATTTTTTTTTGCAGAAAAATAACTTCTCGAAAGCATCATAACAAACAATGCTGGAGTAAAATGCATAATATCAACATTTAAATTAACAACAAAATCATCTGAAATAAAAGAATGCGATGCACCTGAATCAAGTAGAATTGTGCCAAATTGATTTTGAAACATAAACGTACCTGCAACCACTTATTCAGATTATTTGGCTTCTTGTGGGGTAATTGTGAAAAATCGAGCTTTTACTGGTTACTTAGTTATGCGTTTTGAATTTTTATCATTTGCTTGAGTAGAAGGTTTTCCCAAAAAGTGAGATTTGTTAAACTGGCTACCTTCAAAATTGTTTCTGGTCTGTCCTTGTCCTTGAATTATTAGTGGTCTGATGTTTTTTTTCCCGCGGATAGTTAATTTGAATATGCTATAGCTGTCCAAATTTGTAATGTTTCACCTTTTTTCGTTCGTTGCTGCTATAGTGCCCGCGAGCAGAAGATGGGGAGTATGACACTTAAATTATCCTTCATTAATTTTTAGCCGTTCGATCGAATCAAACCATTTCATACCTCGAGAGACAATATTAGGGAGATTAGGAAAGGAGATTAAGATTTAATTAAGGTAATTATACTTATAACTTCGGAATTTTATAAAAAATAATTCGGTTGAATTCTAAGCGGTACGAAAATTGAGTTACTTATAAAATTTGCCAAACTTTACATGGGATCCTAAAATTTGGGTCTTACAACATGGTTCAACTAGAACATCACTCAAATGTGTGCAAAGAATTGTAGACATTTTTTGTTGTTGTGATTTATGTAAACCATTTTAAATAAAAATTAATTTTGAATTTATGTAAACCATTTTTAAAAAATTGCTATGGATTTCCTGGATATATACAGTCGCAAGACCCAAATTACAATTGAGATTTAGATATTAAATTGATGTTTTAAAACTGAAATTGTATGTTTTAAAATTTAAGGATTTGAAAAATTAAACTCAAATGGTAGGCCAAGGTAAAGGCCAAATTCAAAGATCAAATTCAATTTTCTAATTGGAGAATTTGAAGAAGTTTTCAGTCCTTATTCATATTGCGCTAACTAAATTTTCAGATGTCTTTAATCCAGTTAAAATACATGCCCAAATATTAAGGTTATGGTTGTGAATACTTAATGTTTTTCACCATTATCAAAAAAGGGGCAAAAATTATTAAAAGTATAAATATATAGAAACATTCCCAATATATTTGGGGATGTTTAATGTTTAACTTCTCATTTTGAGAGGCTTGATTAATTAATCGATGAAGTTATGTGTTTTATATTATTAAAGTGAGAAGCTTTCGATAATGAATTGACAGATATTTGATGCAAACACATGTGATTCCCATAAACTTTGAAACGCGTGCTCATGCAGATGCAATGAACTGTTTCAATAAATTTTTATTTTTTTTGAAATTATTTGAAGTTTTTAATAATTAAAGCTAAATTACAATAATTGGGAAAAAGTGAAATAAATTTAAAAGTTAGATAATTTAGAGAGTGTTCAAGAACGTTTAAAATTATGTTTCAAATAAAAATGGTTCATGAATAAAGTCATTAATGCATAAATTTGATTTTTCTTGGAATCCTATTTTCTATACATTCTAAATATAGGATTGTTTTTAATTTTAACATAATATATTGTGCATGCGAATTTTGAAAAACTATGGCATTGCACTCAATGCTTTAAAATGAGATGGTTAGGAAACTCTGAATTTATTAATGCTATTTAGGTACTGCTTAATAATTAAAAATCGAAATAATGAATATTTAATTGTTAGAAATCGAGAACCAATAGGAAGATTTGGGCCAATAGGGGCAAGTCAATTGTAGGTATTAGTTACAATCAATATGATTAAATTGACTAATTTGACTTGAAATGTCTATTTGGGTTAAATGAACCAATCGGATGAATTGGGCTTTGTTAAGAGTCAATCAAGCTTGTGTCACCTTTGTTTAATTAATTGAAAGAATCTCCAAACTTGACTTGGCTCAATGTGCCTGAACTGGTAAAATTGATCCTACAAGTCTTAAATGGTAATTTTGGTTAACTATGGTTATATGGACCAATTTACATTATTGGAGGGCCAATTGGGGTCAAGTATTTTATGATGGACTTATTAAAATGTTTTAAATCATTATGATAACTATGTTTATATGGGCCAAATAAATTTATTGGATGATCAATTGGGGTATGGTGGACTTATTAAAATTTTTTAAGTCATTATGAATCATCAATTTTATGGATTTGGCCTATGGTTAAATAAGTCCATTTGTTCTTGGCTTTTTTAGAAGGTTTCAATCAAGCTTCATTAAAGGTCTATTTGGCTCTATTAGGTCATCTATAATTTATTGCGGCATATTAAAGGGGTGTTGGACAAAAGTAATTTGTCCAAGTTTCATGGTTTGGGTCTAATAACCTAATTGGATTTCATTGGGCCAAGCTAGGGTTCAGGGAGATTTAGCCTACTCCAGTGGTCAACTATAGTCAATTCTTTTATATGATTTGGTGATCTAACCTTTATGAAAGATGCTCAACCAATCGATGTGATAAATTAGTTCAAAATAACCAAATAAGTTTGGATAAAAAGGTATTGGGGTAATGTTAATCAATAGGTCAACCTTGGTCCACAGGTTGAGTTCAGGAGATCTCACGGTTTATTACATTGCACATGTATGTAATTGAGCCATTGAGAGAGAAATGGATTACCTAGACCACTATTCGAGGTCATTGGGACCAATCAAGGTTAACCATGAAAGAAGTTCTTCCATACGACTAACTTAGGGTCAAACCTATTGATAGAATTGAACCGTCATTTCATTTCTCTCCGTTGTTTTAACTCTGAATTGCCGTCAAACGTTTTTTATCCCTTTTGAAACTCTACCCAGCTTGCATATTCTCTTTCTATTGCTATTCCACTACCTCTCTGTGCTGACTCTAGAATAGTGTCACACTCAATATTACCTTGTAATCTATAATACTTATTTATTTTTCTTAACAGTCTAATGATGGCGTTCTAGATAGATGGCTTGTCTGATTGGTTATCTAAATTGCTTACAAGTTAACTTACATTCTTCATTATTATTAAGGTTTCTTTTGATATGTTAATTGCAGGATGCAGGTGAAGCCATCATCTCAGCCAATTATTGTATCTATACCAATCTGTCACTCTGATGGTTAGTAAAGTTTCTTGTAAAATTTGCCTGTGAATTCAGGATTAGTAATCTTGTTGATCAAGTTGAAGTTCAATTTCTGAATATGCTTGGCGGTTTTTCTTTGGGCGTTGCATATGGTTTATCATATCTTATTTGTGAATTTCTTTGTTCTTTTAAACATTAATAAAATCACAAATAATCATAAGTTTATTTTAGCCACGGGCTCGTGAAAATGCTCAGTTGTTCATCTTTTTCTGTTGTCCTTATTAGATACTGAATCCGCTAGAGCATCTAGAAGACAACTTAGAGAAGCAATATATACAGTTCTCGCTGATCTGAATGCACCTGCTGTTTGTGCAATTGATCAGGTGTTTTATCTAATTTTTTCTTGCTATTTCATTTTTTGTAAGCATGAATGTATTCTGTTATTATTCCTATCATGGCGTCCAATAAACTTAGCTGAACTTGGAAACACGGGCTTTTGCTATTCATGACCAATTCATTCGTCTTTACAGAGCTTGATGTAATAGTCAATATAAATGCATTTAAAATATCATTATTGTGTATGACTACAATAAAATGTCATTCTCTTGTGTTTGTGTGTGTATGGGAGTGAGAGAAAGAGAGAGAGAGGGTGGGGAGAGAGAGAGTGATGATATATTTCCTTCTATTCTCTCTCTCTTGGTGCGCTTCTTATTATTTAGGTTAGTAACTTAGAGCCTTAAGGTGGCTGAGTGGGGCCAGGCTTTACTCTATCATCTAGTTTTCATGAGCTATTCCATTTAAAAAGAGAACCCTTTTGTGCGCATTTGTTTATGCTCTGCCATGGGGACCCTACTCTTGCACTTTTTTTTAATCATAACCAACTTATTTAACTTATTTCTTTCTTTTTGAATTAATATTTTTTTTTTCAATTTTTTTTTTATTTTCTCACATTCTTGCATTGCCCTTTTTTTTTTAAGTTAGATGCTTCAAAATTAAAGTTAATAAGTATATCGATTAAAAATGAAGTTATCAAGATAGAAATACTTATTTGATAAATCAATAAGTAATGGCTTTAAGAAAGAAATTTCTTTGGTAGTGCATGATGGACAATATGAGAGTAAGAATTCTCTTATTCCTTAATGATGAAATTACAACTCTCCTTCTTATATAAATAGTAAAAGCTAGTCCTACCATTACAACCTGCTAAAGGTACAACCAACAAAAGAAAAGAAATATAACATAATAAAAAAGGACAAAACGAGAATAAATCTAAAATAGAAAATTCATAATTCCACACTTCTCAAGCTGGTTCATAGATGTTTAAAGACAAAGCTTTTATGGAGGTAGAGATTTAGTAAATACATCAACAACTTGGAGATGAGTTAGAATGTAGATTAAGTAAATAATGTCTTCATTGACTGTGGAGTAAATAAGTTGGTTATGATTAAAAAAAAGTGCAAGGGTAAGGTTTAAATCTCAATGTGCTTGGTCATGTCATGATGCATAAGATTCTTTGCATTACTAACGACGACTTGGCTATCACAAAACATCTTTATTGGATTGACTGCGGAGTATCTAAACTCATTTATTTCCCCATTGAATCTACATTCCTTCACTAGTTCCTAAAGTAAGTGCTGGATACTCAAATTCTACACTACTTCTAGAGACTAATGCTTGCTTCTTGCTCTTCCATGTGATAAAATTTCTCCAGACATAGGAACAATACCTAGAGGCGGGTCTTTTGTCCGCAGTTCTTCTGCCTAGCTAGTATCAGTGTACATCTCCACCTCTCTGTTGTCAGATTTCTTTAACAATAACCCTCTGCCAGGGATTTTCTTAAGAAATCTCCAAATATTCTTCATTTGTACTATTAATGTGTTGACTTACTATGTCGACTGAGTAATCGATATCAGATCTAGTGTATGTTAAGTGGATAATTTTTGCCATCGATCTCTGGTATCTACTTTTTTCACTGTTTTCTTCTCCCCCTAACAATAATATTTTTTGAAATTCATATGAGTCTCAACAGGTTTGCACCCCAACATTTTTGTTTCTTTTAATAGTTCTAGGTTGTAATTTCTTTGGTATATCATAATACCCATCTTAAACCTGACCAATTCCATGCCCAGAAAGTATCTATTGCTTCTAGATCCTTAATTTCACATTTAGTGGCAAAATTCTCTTTAATCTTCCCAATCTCTTTGTCATCATCACCTGTGAGTATCATATTATCCACATATACAATGAGTATAACTTTCTTAAATTCTTGTGTATGCTTTATGAACAGTTTATGTTCTGCTCTGTATTGGATGTACCCATTATGTTTTATAGTCTTAGCAAACTTGTCAAATCAAGCCCTTGGAGATTGTTCGAGGCAATAAAGTGTTTTTCTTAGTTTACAAATCAGATGTTTATTTGATTCATTAATACAGAAAGTAATAGGAAAAAAAGCGGAAACACACAAAACAAATTTATTAATAGGGAAATAGGGTTACAACACAACACAAACTGAAAATAACATCACTAACACATAAAACGACACAAACAACACCTTAAAAGTGCATCCCACATGCGGTGGAGTTTTGCTAGGTGGATTGTGATGGCTAGTGAGGGTGGTGGTAGCAAAGGTAGAGTGAGAAATTGCAGGAAAAGCTAGAGGAGCTGGCTGTCTAGTGCAGCGATAGCGAGAAATTGGGGCAGAAACGGTAGGAACTACAATGGCTTGTTGTCTCGGGGAGGAGACAACAAGGACTGGTGGGTCCGAACCTATGTTAGTAATGATGGGAAGGTGTTGAACAATAGGGTAAATGCAGGAGATGGGGCGACAGCGGCTGTGGAAGGGGATTAGGAGCGATCGAGCTATGGGAAAGGAGGAGGGTTGGATAGCCAAAAAGGAGGAAGATACAAACCACATTGAAGTTGGATATAGTCGAAACCCACCACCTTGTCGGATACAACCCACAAAGGGGAAAAAGACTCCACACAGGAATATAAAATCAATACATAGTAAAACTCACTCTAAACTCTGAAAATAACAAATAAATAGACTCTTATATGAAGAAGAAAGGAAATAAATAAAGAAGGAAACTCCCATACAAAAGGAAGGGGTGGGAAGGTGATCTCGCCCTGTCAAACTTCTGTCTCCAGGCCGCTCGATTTGGGTTTACCCTGAACATGCCTCAATTGAGCCGACCGGCTCAACAATGAGACTCCCATGTCCCTCGTTCCCATGTCACCACTCTTCTGCGTCAGATCCGCTATGCGTCAGTCCCTTGGGGTTGGGAGAGCTTCGACCTCATTCGTCGTAGCTTCTGGTTCTTATCTTCAATCCTAATGATACTTGAGTCCTCATGATATGACGTTAAATCCCCTGGCAAGTCGATTATGCCGGTGTTGTCATTCCACAACATAGTCTAGTAGAATAAGTAACCATCCTTTTTTGGCACATCCTAAGCGAGAGCTGCATAAAGAGATGGGTTCTCACAATGCAACTCACGAGCCCTTATATTTGAAATCTTCTCCTTTCACTTCTTGTGTCTAGTGTGCGACGGTTGGGTAACAAGCATGTGAAGAGAACTAAATTTTGGGATGAAATCTCTGGCAGATTGTGCCATTCTATCTAGCGACCACTTATGAGAGACATCTTCTTCAGTGAGAAGGACTTAGATCCCATTGAAGAATTTTCATCCCCCCTCAAACTCCTAGAGCACATTTCAAAGCTGAGGTTCATCACTCCTGTCTGGACATCTGCTGATGGTTACCCCGCTAAGCTGAATCTTGTTGACCTCATTTTTTGGTCGAATGCAGCTTCCAGAGTCATATAAAGCTTCTGGAAAGGTCCTAGTGTCTTTGAGCCCTAAGAAAAAGTCACCTGCCCCTCTTTTCCTGGCTTGGCGTGGTCACGCCAGGCATGGGGCATGACCATGCCCCAGCTTAGGCGTGGTCATGCCACCCTACTTTCATTTCTCTCTCGGTCACATCACTGATCTGTGACCTTCGTCCACGGATCGACATCACAACTGTCCATTCAATCGAACGGATCAAAATAGTCGGCAACTGTCCGCAATTGCGGAAACCGCCGGAGTAATCTGGGCACTCCATTTTCCATTTGATCGACGACTCAGGATAGCCGCTGACGCCTATAAAGGGCTACTGTTCATGCCTCATTCATAAGAGACAGTAGAGCAATCCACAGTGCTGTGTAGTGCAGAGGGCAGAAAGCTGTGCAAGGTGTAGTGTCGAAGTGTCTCCTTTGCTCTCTTTTGTGAACTTTATTCTCCTTTGGTCAACCGCCTCAGTCTTTTTACTCTATTTAAATCTTATTAAGTTTAGTTATATTACTCTATTTAAATATTATTAAGTCAAGTTTAAGTTTTATTGTTTTAAGAGTCGGTTAGGCTAACTCGATAGCCTTGGATTAGGCTTGGGTTTGGGTTTGGGTTCAACTCAGTTTGACCTGAGCCCGACTTAATCCTAATCCCTAAAATGGTTTAGCCCAAACCCAAACCTAACCCAGGTTTGACCCAACCTAGACCTGACTCAACCTAACACAAACCCTTCAACCTAGCACAAACCCTAAACCTAACCTAGGTCTTACCCAACCCAGACCTGACACCCAATCTAATCTAAACCTTAAACCTAACTCAGGTCTGACCCAATACCTGACTCAACCTAACATAAACCCTAAACCTAGGTCTGACCCAATCCACACATCACTCAGCCTAACCTAACCCAAAACTAATCCAGGCCTGACCAAACCTAGACCTGACCTAGCTCAGGTCTAGCCAAACCTAACCGGAACCTAACCTGAACCTGACCCAAACCAGATCTGACCCAACCTAGACCCGACCTAGCTCAGGTCTAGCCTACCCTAATCCAATCATAATCCAGGTCTGACCCAACCTAGACTCGTTCTAGCTCAAGTCTAGCCTAACCTAACCCAAATCTAGTTGGGTTAACCCAAGTCAACCCGGGTTAACTCAGATAAACCCCAACCTACCCGGGTCAGCCCAAACCCAACCCTACTCTACCTGGTCAACCCAATTCAACCAGGGTCAATCCAAATCAAACCTTAACATACACGGGTTAACCCAAGTCAATCCAAATGTTTTTACACTAACAAAATAATTTTAAACAGCATGACTATTTTACGACTATGAAGCAATATTCATCACATTTGACTAAGCATGGAATATAAATTGTCCATAAATAAGCAATCTTACACGAGCACACTAAGTTACTATTTTCCAGGGATGATCTAGTTTTCATTACCATCTAATCTATATTTTCATCACTTGTGTTCTGTTTTTTTTTTTTTTTTTGATCACTGGTTTTTCCATCTCTTCTATATCAATCACATTATGCTTCTTGTCCATAATCAACTTTTGCTGCTCTAGAACTTGAAGCTTTTCATCCATATTGAGTCAAATTGTTTCTAGTATGTATTTCTATTTTGTGAAATCTCGTCTCTTTCACATCACATCTTTTCAAAATAACATCATGGAAAACTGACTCAATTTTCTTTTTACGAAGCTTTAGCATTCATATCTTCAACAATGGTGAGGAGCTTGCCCAATTGCATGGCCCATAAGACTAGATGATCATCTAGGCATACCTTTGTAATGGTTGCCCGTTCTATAGATTTTTATGGAGCTATGGGCTTGCGCGAGAGCCTAGGCTTGTGTGCAGCATAATCTTCAAGAACACTGGTTAAATCCAATTGATCTAGCTGTCTCTATTTTTGTGCTTATGCTACTGCTCTCAGCATGTAAATTAAATTTCTTATGCTTAGGACAACTGAAGATGAAATCTTTTTCAGCATTGTTATTTTACTAGTGTCTTTGATCACACTGATGTTATGAAATCTTATTCTACTTTGTTATGTTGTGTATCTAATCACTGATGCTATTTCTTACGTAAAATTGCAGGCTGTATTGGCCTTGTATGCTTCAAAACGTACTTCTGGAATTGTTGTAAATATTGGTTTTCATGTCACTTCAGTTGTGCCCAGTAAGTTTCTTTTATGCACCAGAATGTCTATTTTCTGTCAGTTTATAATCATATTCTGATATGCTCGTTTCTGTCTTAACTCTCATGTATACAGAACTTGAGTTAATAGTTTATTGCGAGTTTAATAGGCTTCTTCCTAGTTTTTGCTTTCATTTTTGAATGATTAATGCACTTAATGAATTAAGGGTGTCACGTAGCGTGCTGTTAGCTTGTTTATGATGAATGGCTGTGATCTTTCAAAAATAAATTTAAAAAAATTAAATTAAGCTGCATCTCTGAGCAAGATTCTATGTCTCGATTGCTTGTAGCTTATTGAAAATTTAAATATGTTGTCACTCTTTACGTAGTATGGATATTGATAGAGGGTTCTAGGGTAATTACCCCTTGCTATTTGTTTGGTAATTGGTTGCTATAAAAATTTTTGAAACTGAAAAATTGAAAAAATCGTTTCAAAAGAAAAAATGATGGGCTTGTTTGATTTGTTGGAAAGGAAAACTGCAATTTATTTGATGTTCTTTCGTAAATCTGGGAAAAAAAATAATCATATTCTTTTCTTCATTTTATTTTTCTCTACAATTGGTCATCTTAGTTTCGTATATCAAAGCACTTTGTATGAATATTTTGAATCGAATGGACTATTTACTAGAGAAGTTCTACCCTCTAGCTTACAGTATGAAAGGACAATTTATTGATGGGGTATGCCTTAGGTTCTAGGGTTTCAAAATTTTAATCTTTGGTGAAATGTATGCTAAAATACTCAAAATGTCATAATTAATGGATTCTCAACTATTGTTTTAAGCAAGGATTGATTCTATTAATGCAAAATCAGCATTTATAATTCATTATTTTTAAACAATAATATAAAGTTTGTCAAAAATGACCAGAGAGCTAACGTACCAATTTGTAACGACTGAAATTCATACCACAAGAGGGATGTTGGATACAATCTAATTTATCAAAGTTTTAATCAGATATGCATCAATCACTAAACAAGTTTGTAGAAAAAATAAAGATAAAAGTTACCAAGTGAAAGATTCAGGCTTTATACGGAAGAGTGAAGACTTGGGATGAGCTCCGATAAATTGCAAAAGCAATAATTGGAAAAAAAACTGAATTTTATTTCATCACATAATTGTCAATTATTTTGTGTAATAGTTCCTATTTTTAACAAAGGATCTAAAATAAAGAACTCCTCAGATTCCTCCAAGATCAAGCTTAATATTACAAGTTTTAATTTAACTTAATTAAGTTCTAGCAAGTATATTAAGTATACTACCCTAGTATTTACAAACAACAAAATTTCAACTTTAAAATTCTTGTTCCAATAAATTCAAGCAAATTTTGTTTGTCAGCTATGGTCACGTGTTGAGCATAAAAATCATACCCCAAAGGAAGCCACTCACACTGATCAAGGGCTTCTAGATAGTGTATAAGGATTGCTATAACAGGTAGGGTGCGTTTAGGGTAGCTGCTGATTTTTGAAGAAGCAGCTTCACAGGAAACAATTTCACAACTGCTGTCAAAATACTACTGTTGATGTGAAGGTCAGTCTGTTACAGTGCTGTAGCTGTTTCTGATAAAAATAAGATATTTATACCCTCATAGATGTAAAATAACTGAATGACTGCAATTTTCAAAATAATTATAACAGAATAATAGAAATAACTTCTATAGTATAAAAAAAAATGTTAGAAGTCCAATTTCTCAATACATCAATTGTAAGATATCACTTTACACATAATTTTATACAAAGGAAGGTGAAAAATATATGTATAAGCTAGCCAAACAAAGAGAGAAGTAAAGTATATTAAAATTGAAAATCAAAAAGTGATTTTATTAGAAAAAGATATTCTAGGTGAGTTATTTTGATAAATTTTTTAATGAAGTTTCTGAAAATATGATCAACCTTAGTGATCTTAATATCATTAATAATAATAAAATGTTTCATTTTTACCGTCGCATTAGTAAAAAAGAAGTTGATGGTCTTTAAAGAAAACCAAGGGTGGATAGTCTGTAGGACCTAATGATATCCCAATTGAAGTATAGAAATATTTAGGAGATTTGGGAGTTTCTTGGCTTACTAAACTCTTTAATATTATTTTAAAAACTAAAAAAGATGCTTGAGGAGTGGAGGAAGAGTATTTTGATCCCTATTTTTAGCAATAAAGGCGATGCACAAGAGCGTGCAAATTATAGAGTAATTAAGTTGATTTGTCGTACTTTAAAATTATGGAGAGGGTAATTGAATATAGGTTAAGACATATTACAAAGATTTCTCATCATCAATTTGGATATATGCCGGGCAGGTCTACTATGAAAGCTATACATTTATTGAGAGGTTTGATGGAGAAGTTCAGAGATAATAAGGAGAATCTACATTTTTTTTTTATTGATTTAGAAAAAGCTTACGATAAGGTTCCAAGAGATATCCTTTGGAGAGTTCTCGAGAAGAAATGTGTTGATATGACTTATATTCAAAAGTCATTAAAGATATGTATGCTAGGCTTGTGTTCGAACTGAAGGAGGAAGGAGGATTGACCAAATATTTTCCTATTTCTGTTGGATTGCATCAGGGATCGACTTTAAGCCCATCTCTCTTTGCTTTAGTTATGGATGATCTTACTCGATATTTACAGGAGGATGTACTTTGGTGTATGCTTTTTGTTGATGATATGCTTCTCGTGGATAAGCCCAGAGAAAAAGCCCAGTAAAAACTTGAATTATGGAGGTCTACATTTGAGTAGATCTAAAACTGAATATATGAAATATAATTTTAGTAGTAGTAGCTTTAATGACAGAAGTGTAACTTTGGGTGATCAAGTTATTAGAAGGTGTGAACGATTTAAATATCTCGGGTTTGTTGTTCAAAGCGGTGGTGATATAGAAGGGGATGTTGATAGTAGAATTCAAGTTGGTTGGTTGAAGAGGAGGAATTTTTCGGGCCTTTTGTGCTATAGAAAAGTACCACTTAGATTGAAAGGAAAATTTTATAAGACAGTGGTGAGACCTGCAATGCTCTATGGCACTGAATGTTGGCATTTAAAATTTAAAAGAGAAGCATAATTAAGTGTTGCCGAGATGAGAATGATTAGGTGGATGAGTGGCTTTACACTTAGAGACAAAATGCGAAATAAATATATCC